TGGTATTCGGTCTGAAATCAGCTGATCCGGCGCCCGCCGTCCCCCACCACCCAACGGCGGGGTGGCGTGTTGTCGGCGGTGACGTCACCGATCGTTGCAGCGGCAGCGGCGGCGGCGGCGTCTGTGGGCCGTCGCAGTTGCAGCGGCGGAGTACTCGAACTCTCTGGCACCGTGCCTTCGGCGTGACGTCAGACCTATGGGCGCGTATAACTGACGGCCCGGGTGGGCGGGGCGGCAGTTGTGGCGCGCGGTTCGAGCCCGGCGGCGCCAGCGCAGCAGCCGGAGTGGTGGCGCGCGCCGGCCTCCACCCAGAACGTGAGCACCCCTGACCGGCTGGCGGCCGCACCAGGTGTGGGCGGGCGCGTCCGGCCCGCCCGGTTCGCCTGCTGTCGATGTCTGGTGCAGAGTAGGAGAGGGAGTGAGAGTCGGACCAGCACGGACTGGATAGAGCGGATGCGGGTGAATGGTGCACGGGGATGGGCCTTGCACGAGCAATTCACAGGCGACGAGTGGCTGCCTCCGGTTTAACGTGAACAAAGAATGGGCAACAGGTCAGTCGAGACACCAGCCGGCATAACTGGTGTGCCGGCATGCTGCAGTGATGTGGTTTTGGTCGGGCGTCCGGAGGGTTGCCGTCGAGTGCTGGGAGCTGAAATTTCCTGTCTTGTGTTTCCAGTTTGCGTATCAAAATGCGGTATTGAATGTCTCCACAAGATGAGTTCAGAAGTCAATGGTAAAAGGGCACATGCCTGATCATATAGTCGCAGCTCTCAGTCTAGGCAGCTCTGGGCGTCCACCAAGCTCTGGAATCTTTGCGCAAACTCTGTGCTCTTGAGGTGCTTTCTGGCAATCTCACATTGTCCATAGCGCACGGGTCAGTCCGTTGCGTATCGGAAACTGTTACAGATGCGTTCATTTCGATGATACACAATAAAACACAAGACCTTAGGATATGTTTTTGTGAAAATGAGCCCCAGGCTTTGGGGCAGCCTGCCGAATTACCCTTGGTGTTTTTTTTTTTTTTAAAGCGAAACCAGGTCGTGACTGAGAGCGGCCTTTGAACCCCAGCAAATGCTGAACAACATGAATGCTGTCACATGTCTCGTTAAGTGGCTTCGGTTTCCGACGCGGCTCAAGAACACATCACTGTTAGCGCCACTGTGTATCGTCCGTGTCCCACTCCGCCGTTACCGCCAGCGCCACTGTGTGCCGTCCGTGGTCAACTCTGCCGTTACCGCCAGCGCCACTGTGTGCCGTCCGTGGTCAACTCTGCCGTTACCGCCAGCGCCACTGTGTGCCGTCCGTGTCCCACTCTGCCGTTACCGCCAGCGCCACTGTGTGCCGTCCGTGCCCCACTCTGCCGTTACCGCCAGCGCTACTGTGTGCCGTCCGTGCCCCACTCTGCCGTTACCGCCAGCGCTACTGCGTGCCGTCCGTGCCCCACTCTGCCGTTACCGCCAACGCCACTGTGTGCCGTCCGTGCCCCACTCTGCCGTTACCGCCAGCGCTACTGTGTGCCGTCCATGCCCCACCCTGCCGTTACCGCCAACGCCACTGTGTGCCGTCCGTGCCCCACTCTGCCGTTACCGCCAGCGCTTTTACGATTATCTCTACGCGTTGGTTTTGCTCAAAAATCTCTTTAGACATGCCAAATCCCTTCCGCGTCGCGATAGCTCCAATCACGCTGCTTTTCCTTCACAAGTCAATTTTATTTCTGTACCGTACGTTTGAACGTTAGAATCTCCGACCCGACTCGATAACCAGGCCAACCAAAACACCAGCACCCCAGTATCTGACGCCGACCTGTGGTGTCGGAGTCGTCCTGACCTACTGATTGGGACAGTACCAGGGGTTGGGCAGGCTTCTCCTGTGACCCTTACGGCCACCCGTCCCGTTCTCTCCCGTGGCGGCAGCAACAATCACATTGTCTCGGTACCTCCTCCAACAATCTGTTCCCCTTCATGAGCTGCCGTACACCTGGGGACAACTGATGATGGGACATAGGGATGGTGAAGCCCCTGCGTGTAACTCCGCTCCACCTTTTCGCGATGGATCTGCTCCTCGCATCGCCGCGGGGCATTTGTGGGTGTGGTGCGACTCGTCAGCTGGTGCTAGGGGCTGGCCAGCCGCGCTGGCTGACTGTTTACCTTGCGGCTGCCGTGGTATCTGGCAAGGTCAAGACGGCGCCGCTGCCGCCGTGCTGCAACTACGATTTACTCGGTTTGTGGCACCGAACGTGCATTCATGCCGGCGAGTCCTGTCCCGTAGAAGATTGCTAATGATTAGACGCTCGCACATCTGCGTTGGTGGGAGGGGAGTGTAAATTAGTATCCGAACTCGGAACATTCGAATGTCCGCTCAAATATTCGGATTCGACAAGCGTTTGAATACCGAAAACAGCTCTTGAATAGTCGAAAACCTTCGACCGCGTTCTGAATCAGCACTTCTGAAGGAATCTTCCCCGACAGGGTGCCTCACGATGTCTTACTTGTCGGGTGAGCCACCGACGCCACGGTATCGAATTTCCCAAAGGCCGGCCTGGCACTCAAGGCAACCACATGCTCTCTCTCCCCACCCCCGCACCCACCGTCGCGGCCGACGAATGCGCAGGTCGTCGGCCGCGCGGCCGGCAGCCGATCCCGTGACGTCACATTCCATGCGCACGCGGCTTTCGAGCGGCGGCATGCGGCGCTTCCGCAGACGGTGCGCAGTGTCCGGGTTGCGTCAGCCGGCGTTGGCTGACTATTCCTGGTCGGTGACGTCGAACCCTTCTGAGGGTCGATCACGGGTCATGCGGCCGCGGCGCAGGAACACTGCCTGCAGACGGGCCAGGCCGTGACCGACGCGTCACTCAGATCGTTTCGATGGCCTTTTGCACTCCATGTGTTCATCCAATCCTCTTTCGTTACGACCTGTTAGGCTTTTGATTCGTTCCTCAGTCTACGTCCTGCACTATGCCACCCGCACTGATTCACTCCTCGTCCCGCCCCGAGGCCCAGAATATACCCTCGGGCCATGCACGTGACCTGGCGGCCGGTCAGCTGACGCCCGTGACTGTGCGTCACGTGGTGGGCGCAGCTGGTGACCGCGGGCCACGCCAACGCCGACCTCCGACAACAGCTGGCGCCAAATGCGAGCCCTCAGTCCGGCCGGGCGTCGAATCTGGCACGAAACGGCCCGTCTGTGGCGGAAGCTGACCCGACACCGCCCGAGGCGTGTCTGCGGGAGCTGGCCGGACAGCTGAACCCTGGACTCTGCAGACGAGATTGCTGACACGATAGCAAATGGAAGAGGCTGCTGGGGTTACCAGCGACGCCCAGTGAACACGTGACGCTTGCCAGTGGTAGTCACTGGTGGGGGTGTGTCGGATTGTTTGGGACGTTTAGATCTCCCGACGTCTCGGCGACTTAACCCTCCGAAGTCACAGTGACGGCACACCAATCACGAAGTCAAGAACGTTCGCGTATTTTCGTAACGGTCCCAGGGCGATTTCTGTGGTCGGTCCCTGTGGTTCTGCTGTGCGGGCTGTTGCATTAGCCTCGGAAGCCGGGCAAGTAGGGGAGCACTAGTTATGACGTGCATTCTATTCTCCTATCTGACGCCTTATCACCGCCAGTATTTTGCGGCGGCTTAACAATGCTATTTTCGTCATAATGTTTGCTGGGCCTGTCTCCGATGGGCGGCGCGATAAGGTATGATGCAAGTGTCCATAGCGCACCAAAACGTCGCCGATAACCTGAATGTCACGCATCCGTTATGATCGCCGCGCGGTGGTTCCCCAATTTCGCTGCCACTTCCAGCCGCCCGCGCGGAACCGGCGCACCTGCGCGTATATATATATATATATATATATATATATATATATATATGTATATGTATATGTATATATATATACTTATATGTATATATATGTATATGTATATGATATATATATGTATATATATACATATATATATATATATATATATTATATATATATACATATACGTGTGTGTGGGGGGGGGGGAGTCCGCTGCGTCGAGCGGCACAGGAGGCGGCCGGCATGGCCCGTGACGGGCGCGTCCCCGCTGCCCGGGCTAAACTTAGCGGCGCTGGCTGCCACCCACCGGGGCGGCTCGGCGTCTGTCGGCGCTCCGCTGCAATCAACCCAGCCCAGCCCCGGCTGCTCGCCCTCCAGCCGCACGCTGCACGTCCGGGGGCAGGCTGATGTTTGACGCGGGAGGGAGGGGGGGGGGGATGGGAAGCTTCCAACTCGATGAGCTCGTGGTGGCTGCTAAGCCTGCCGTCCTGCCTCCTGCCGTTATGCCCGGTCTGGACACCGTTGTTTGGATGCACTGCCGGCTTGCGTGACGGCTTGTACGGATGCGAGCAGCTTCCCCGCATCAGTCTCCTGAAGAAAACGAAGATGCGTGTCTTTCAGCGTCTGGGTACTAATGGACGCTACTCGCCGGCGTATTCACGAATGAATGCATGGGTGCGGCGGATATCGGTCAAACTGGGGTTTGCATTATAACTGTCAGACATGTACTTGCAGATGGAGCCACCCGTCCGACCAAAGGGGAGAGCACTGACCCGGGCTCTCTGCCGGCAGATGGCTCCTAGCGCGCGGTCGACTGGTGGCCATGGAGCCCGAGCCCGAGCCGGGCGCGGGTGGCGTGCCTGAGAGGTGTAACTCGCCCGGGTCGGAACGTCAGCTGGTGCTGCTCCGGTCCGCCTGTCGCACGCTGACCGACCCTGACAGCGCCAGCCGCGCCACGGAGCGCGCCGCCGCGCCGCCCCGCGCCGCGCCGATGGCCGAGCCGGCCGACGCCGACGCCTTCTTCGAGTACGACGTGGAGAGCGGCGCGGCCGGCTCGGCGAGTGGCGGCGGCGGCGGCGGCGGCGGTGCTGACACCGGCTGCGCGCTGACCTCGCCGGCCGGCGGCAGTCGCGAGCACTCGCCGGCGCCGGCAGTGGCCACCGCCGCTCCCGTCGCCACCGCCACCGCCACCGCCGCCGCTAACGGCCACAGCGACGGCGAGATCGCCCAGCCCGGCGCCGTACCGGTGCCGGGCGGCGGCCGGCGCGGTCGCGGCGTCACCGAGCGGCCGCAGCAGAGCCCCAGCGAGAAGGTGGGCGCTTGGCTGCGCGCGTGCCCCGAGGACAGCAGTACCAGCGCCGATGAGGAGGAGCCGCCCGAGGAGCCGCGCGGGCGCGAGCTGCCGCCCGACGAGCCCCAGTTCCCGCTGGAGGAGGATGAGGCGAGCGAGCAGCAGGACAGCTCCGAGCCGGACGAGCAGATGGAGGACGCCCTGGCCGACGCTGAGGTGCTGGACATCCGCGGGCTGCTGTCGCGCGGCTGCCGGCTGCTGGACCTCGAGCCGGGCGTGGCTCTGCAGCCGCCGGTCGCGGCCGCAGCCGACGACGACGAGCGGCCCGAGCCGCTGGTGGACGAGCTGGAGGGCGCCGTCGGAGGTGAGGTGGAGGGTGCCGTGGCTCTGCACGTGGATGGCGCCGACGCCGACGACGAGGCCACCTCGACGAGCGGGACGTCGTCCGAGTTCGTGTCGCCCGAGCTGCTGAAACGCAGCACCTCTCTTAAGTCGGGCAAGACGCCACCGCAGACGCCCGGCCGCAAGAAGTTCGTGCGCTTCGCCGACGCGATGGGCCTGGACCTGCAGAAGGTGCACACGTTCCGTGACGAGATCCCGACGGTGCCGGCGGCGGCGTTCCGCGGCCTGGACGCGGACGTGTGCGCGCCGCCGCCGCCGCCGCCCGCCACCTTCCAGATGACGTTCGGGTCGGCGGCGCTGGGCGGCGGCGCGCCGGGCCGCCACCTGGTGGCCATGTTCCTGCAGCCGGGCGGCAGTCTGGGTTTCCTGGACCGGCTTCAGCACGATCGGGTCAGCCTTGAGAACGTTGTGTGCCGCGACGACGACCTGTCGGTGCGCGGCATAGTGCGAGTGCTCAACATGGACTTTTGCAAGGTGGTGCGCGTGCGTTACACGCTGGACGAGTGGCGGACCAGTGCGGAGACGCAGGCCGAGTACGTGCCCGGCTCGTGCGATGGCCTGTCGGACCGGTTCACGTTCACACTGTACGCCAGCACGCTGACGCCCGGCCAGCGGCTGCAGTTCGTCGTGCAGTTCGAGTGCCAGGGCCAGACCTTCTGGGACAACAACGGCGGCCAGAACTACTCTGTCCAGCTGATCATGACCAGCACCAGTCCGACGACTGACGACTTCGGCGGCTGTTTTTATTGAGCCTCCGCCGTCGCCGCGGCAGCAGCAGCGGTCACGTGCAATGCTGTCGCCCGCGCCGCCCTCCCGTGGCGGCGGCCGCAGGCAGCGTTTCCCGCCACGGCTGTGGTGCGGCGCGGCGCAATGCCAGTGTGCCAGTATTCATCGTGCGCGTCTCACAACAGATATGTCGCGGGCGGAGTTAGAGAGGTTGGGTCAGTCGCCCGTCCAGTGAGTGCGCGGGCAACTGCGTCTGGGCGTAGCCACGGGAGAGTTGTTTTTAACATTTGCCTTCGGTGGTCGACGCCGCCTGCCGTCCACTGCTGTTCAGGAATGGCCGTGGCGGCGAGTGGGCGGCGCGGCGCATGGCCACTCGTCTTTGCCAGTGTCTGAGGGGCTGCCAGTTGTCGGGATGATGTGCTTTGCAGAATAAACGCTTGCATCGTGGTCAGCGTGTGACGCCAGCGTTTTGTGCTCGGCTGCTGGCCGTCCTAGCGCCACGCTGGCTCGGGTCGCCACTGGCTCAGGGCAGTGCCCGTAGTGGGCTGTATTCCCCAGACTGGTGCACAGCTCGGACACCTGTGCCTGGTCGTCAGTTGTTATATGATTTCGTGTAGTCAAAGCACTGTGGAGTCTGTGTCGCACGTCATGGAACCTGGGATGCCTTGAGCCGATGCCACATTAGGCAGGGGTGTAGTTGCGCAAAATTAGTTGGCAGCTGAGCGATAAAAAAGGACGCAACCTGTTAACAAACTACGCCAACAAACTGGTTTCTTCCCGGATCTGGCGCACTTTCTACTCACAGTTTGGGGTGCTGAAGGCCAACTGAATGGAATACTACACCCCTGGTACGGGCTGAAGGAAACGCCCGATATCTCATGACTTAGTTCTTGGATCGGAAAAATGGAAGCACAGCTCTGTTATGATCAGCGGGAAATGCCGGCGGTGGCTGGTATGACAAGTGACAGTGCATCTGAAGTGAGCGTTTCTATGGAGAATGGCTAACATTTTGCCCATTTCGGAAAGCTGCGTGACCATTGGTGTGACCGTCGCACCGTACCCTTGGCACCGTGCCCCCCAAGGCACCGTGCCTGTCATTCCCTATCCATGTTCGGTATTTCACAGATCGCGCAAGTGTGCTGAAACAGCGATATTTTCGAACGACCCACGGCAATTTATCACCCGTAATTGGGGCCGTATACATTAACAACTGAAACTGTTTCAGAAGGCGTGATCTTGCACGCCAAAATGATTGACCTTCAGACCTAGCAGCGGTTGTGTAACTGTTCCGTGTATCGCACGAGCTTTTCCTGGTGATGAGACTTCTGCCATAATCGCCATCGCAGATGCACTGGACCAGTTAGATACACTTTATGAGAAAAACACAAGGGCACAGGTTCATGGGCTTTGGAATGCAGAGCCTTTACAAATAACATTATTGGGATTGTCCCATTGCGTCCCATGGCGGCTTGGTGCTTTGTCCGCTTGGTGCAGCAGTGGCCATGGGTTTTCTAAGCAGAACCGGCAAAGCTGCGGAACAGTGACGTCACGCTAGGTTTTGTAATGACGTTTAGACGTGTCAGCACCCAGAGATGTCTGGGTGGATGTATTGTAATGCTCTTGAACAAAACGCTTAAAACGGCCTTAATGGCGCAACTAAAGTAGAACTTTTTGGGCCATGACCTACCCCTCATTCCCCCCCTGGAGATCGCAGGAAGTCCTGAAGCCGAGGGCCCAAGAATTCGTTGGCAGTTTAAAAGCCCCAAATGTCCCTCAAAACACAAAAACGAGCCTTCCGGCCATCCATTTAAAAAGTCAAAAGTTGCTCCGAATACAATAACGGCTTCAATAGCGACGAAGTGGATCATGGTCCGGTGCAATGGTGTTATCGGATGAGGTCGAGAGTGACCGGAGCGCATGCGAGTATGGATGATGATTTTGGGTTTTACGGCGCATCGACTGCTGTAGGTCATGCAGCGCCCATAACTATCAATTTATGCAGAGTCGCCAATCAGGCAAGTGCATCAATCAAGTCACCCTATAAAGCCTTGATGATCACGCTTAGCATCATGATGAAAAGATTACTGGGAAATATATAGCGCGAAGAAACTGGAGCACTTTACCTCTCGGCAGCGTGTGAAGAATCCCATAAAAAGTGACATAGCGTGCGACTCTGGACGTAGTGTCCGAAAAACTGCGCTCTCGTTGCAGTAAGGTGATGACAAGCGACCAGTACGTGATGCACGGTCAGCGGGTCAGAACATCGACTGCAGTATGGTCTATAGCCAGCCAATAGCAGATGAGGGCGCGTAGCATATGTGTGGCCTATGCGTAACCGGCAAAGAGCAACTTCTTTCCTCCGGTTGTCCCGAAGACACGATTGCCATAGTCCAATGCGGGGTTTCACGGACTGCAGCTTGTTGGCGCTCAGCGAGTTCCAGTGGAACTACCATTGCTTCTGGATAAACGACGACACTGCGGGGTACGTGTCTTGAGCAGGTAGTGGTGTTATAGGAATGCGTGTCCCTGTCGTAGCGCGCTCTGCTGCCGCGTCAGCAAGATCATGTCCGCAGATCCCCACGCGACCTGGGATCCGGCATAGTACGATCGTTTGTCCTGCTCGATCCGGTGAACTAAGACGTGACTGAATGTCCTGGACCAATGGATTCGGCGAGGAGAAGCCGCCAACAGCCAGGAGACTGTTTAAGGAGTCGGAACGAATCAAATGCAGATTGCTATCGTCCACTTCAATAAAACAGAGCGCTTTGGTGATGTCTATAAGCTCCGAAGTGTAGACCGACGAGCGTGAAGGCAGTGTGAGTGACCGTGTTGTGGGTCCGTACATAAAAGCGCACCTTACACCTGCATCCGTTTTCGAACCATCCGTACAAGTCATCATGTACGCATCAAAGGAGGCTATGTGCTCTAAGGCTGTGCCTTTAAGTTCCGTTATGGGAACACGTTGCTTTTGCATGTTTGATAGCGAAACATCCACTCTTGGCGATGCTAGCTCCCAAGGAGCGAGCCTCATTGGTTTAGGTCTGGTGAAAAGTCGTAGGTTGAGGCCGCTCGCGTCTAAAAGTTCTCTCACTCGTACACAAAAGGGAAAGTTGTAGTGACCGTTGACGTAGAAAGAGCCCTCGTAAGCTACGCGAGAACACTGCTTTGTAGATGGGATGATCTCGGATCTGTGCCAGCTTGCACGTGTAGCGCAGTCCCAGCATCTGCCTTCGCAATGCTAGTGGAGGCCCGTGAGCCTCCACCAGAAGACTATCTAAGGGCGGTGTTCGAAAAGCCCCTGTGGTGATACGTAGTGCGGCGTGATGCACCGTGTTCAAAGTACGTTTGATCAGGTCTGATGAACCGTCATAGATAAAACAGCCGCAGTCAAGTTTTGAACGAATCAGGGAGTAAGAGTGTCCTCCTATCAGCTCCGTATGATGTACGTCCCACGCACCTTAGGATGTAAAGAGATTTAAAAATTTGTCGCGGAGATTTCTTATGTGCTCACGGTATGTTACGCGTTGGTCAAATCGTATACCGAGAAATTTCACGGTTTCTTCGATGTGGAAAACCGGAAACCGTTGAGCACACTCCACTTCTCCAGACGTGTGACAGCTAGCTGCAGCTGTCGCTCCATCGTTCGAGTGGTCGATGAGCTACACCAAATAGCGAAGTCGTCTACGGGCAGAGAACGACTGATCCCATGTGGAAACGTGTCCTTTATATCGTTAATCATCATTGCGAAAAGAATGACACTTAATACGCTGCCCTGAGGCACACCATTGTCCTGCGGGTACCTGTCGGAGTGATAAGAACCAACACCCACCCGAAAGAATCTGCTAGTCAAAAAGTTTCGTAAAAACTTTGCCACGTGATCGCGGATGCCACAATCGAGTAGCTTCATCAGAATTTTATGGTACCATATTATCATGGTATCATGGTATCATGGTATTATCAATTTTATGGTATCATATCATATTATCCATGTGGTATCATAAGCTATTTCTATGTCAAAAAAGATGGCGCCGGTATGGCGTTTGCTAATACACACGGCCCGCACTGCGGTATCAAGAGTTAAGATGTGGTCTATCGTGCTACTGTTTTTACGGAATCCCCACCGAGCATTCGTAAAAAAGTTGTGACGTTCTAAGGTCCACGAGAGCCGCACATTCACCATTCTTTCCATGAGCTTACAAAGCGAAGATGTGAGGGTATTCGGGCGATAGTCAAGGGCGTTCGTTCCACTTTTCCCGGGCTTTAAAATAAGCACTACTATGGCCTCTCGCCAGGTTGGCGGAAAATCACCTGACTCCCATATAAAGTTGAAAAGTGCCAGCAGTGCTCGTAGTACACAGGGAGGAAAATGCCGTATCACATCATTGTGGACGAGGTCGGGTCCCTCCGCTACACTACGCAGCGAGCGAATGGACGCTTGAAGTTCCATCAGAGGGAAATGCTTGTTGTAAGTCAGGGTGTCACCTGTATACAAATTAACTTGCGAAGTTTCACATCGCGCCCTGTGCCACAAAAACCGTGGATCGCAGGTGCCATTTCGGCAACGGTCTGACAACGCTTCTCCAATGGCTCCCGCGACATCCCTTGGGTGAGTGATGTCTTGACTTCCCACTCGCAGTGCAGGAATGGAAACTGGCAGGTGCAATCCAGCGATTCTTTCAATGCGGCCCCATACATGTGACGTCGGCGTGTGGCGATTCAGTGAGCTGACGTAGATGCACCATGATGCACGTTTCGCCTCTCGTATAGTGCGGCGTGCGGCCGCGCGTGCTTGCCTGAAAGCCATGAGGTTTAATGGACTGCTGTGCCGGTCAAAAGCCCTAAAAGCTCTCCGATGTGCACGAATAGCGTCGCGACATTCGTCGCTCTGCCAAAGTACAGGGGTGCAACGAGAGCATCCGGAGGCGCGTGAAATGCATTCTTTCGCCGCGTCCAAAAAGAGAGACGAAAATTCCTCCATAGCCGGAGTCACAGAGACGAAATCGTTAGAAAAGGTTTCCTCCAGGCGGGTCTCAAATCCACTCCAGTCAGCCTTCTTAAAATTCCAACGCTGATGTCGGATACCAAGAACAGTGCCACCACGGTACCGAACCCAGACCGGAAAATGGCCACTTCTAAGGGGGTCCTCTGAACCATCCCAAGTGAAGTGTGGTACCAACTGCGGACTACAAAGGCTCAGGTCTAGCACTGACGATCGTCCTGATGGTGCGCATGCGAGTATTACGGCACGTTCAACTCACGCCACACAATTATGCCGATTAAGTCGAATGTCACGATCGGATGGTGGGATCAGGGCTCACACAATAAGCCCTTCTAAGTGCGTGCTTAAGCCACCAAAATCTGTCTGACCAAAATGTTGGAAACAAGTTCTAAAAATACTAATTATACACCTGACGGCCTGCACTTCAGTTCGCTGCCATTTGAGACACGGCCAAAGCCAGTGCGGCAGGCAACTGTCAACATCAGCCAGTACCAAGAGCCAAATCAGATGTGTCAGATCCGTCCTTGCCAGATGTGTCTGCTGATCTCGCCTGAGAGATCCCCCCCCCCCCCCCATCTAGCTCATTTGCTGACAACGACAGAAGTAATAGCCCTATTCCTCGGAGAAAAACCAGGAGAGTGGAGATATAGATGGGGAGGCTCGCCTGTTTTTTTCTCTCAGGAATGAGACTATTTCTACTGTCTTATCTATGTGAATGATGTCCCTCGTAAATGTACTAAACAACTCACTCATTTGCTGACGGCAACAGGCATTCAAGGCCGTGCCGGTCACTTCTGCTTCCCATTCGCCGGTCACCCGCTGCCCATTCCGAGCTGTTTAATTGTCTCTGCAGCAGTCCCCACGCTCCTTCAGACATTGTGTGCTTCACGCCGACGAGTTTCGGGAAAAAACAAACTTGGGCTCCCTCATATCTATGCCTCTGGAGCAGGGCCATTACTGAGGTCAGGGAGCAGCCACTCTAGCATCTTTCAGGCAAACTGATTCTGGCACCAGGGCCAAGGCTTGCTACACGTTCCGACAACAGCCAACGGGTGAGCAGTTAGGTAAAAGCTGTGGACACCATCCCACAACGACGTAAAAATCGTCAGAAAACTTTTTCGGTAGTTGTGTGTACATTTTATCGACTATTACATTATATGTGATACTAATAACTCGGATCGTATAACCTATTCAAACCAGGAAAGCATGAAATCCTCCAGAACACTGGCAAACATCTCACGCGTGAACTTGACAATCCTCTTGTGTAATCACCGTTCCACAACGGCTTCTCAAAAACAGATCGGCCTCGGCATAGTCATCATCAGCTGACACTGAGCCAACCCAAGCCTAACTCGGCCATTCTGGGCGCTCGAGACAGGAACGTCCGATCCATGCATCCGCTACCTGAACGCATGAAACAATACCCGGCATCTCACCGTGCAGTCGAAGGACAGCAGACTCACCCAACACCTAACATCCGATGTCTGTATTTCTGAGGAGCCGAGGACCATTCCAGGTGATCAGTGCCGCTGAGAAAAACAGTGGCGCGGCGGCTAATGACGCGGCGCCGTGCGCACCGATGTTGTCGCTGCGCATCTTCAAGGCGCTGGCGCCTCCTCCAAAGGATGTTTCATTTAAAGGGGCGCTGGCTGGTTTCTAGCCTGTGACTGTTTGAAGTAGCAGTATATGAATGATACCTGTGCGCGTGTAATCATAGGCGTAGGAATGGGGTTCCCATGTGAGCCATGGCACTCACATCTTCCGAGAAGTGCGGTGTGTGAGTATTACAAGAAGCATTAATCCTATGGAAAAGGAAGCAAATAACTTACTACAAAGCAGGTGTTGACACCCCACTTTCTGAGACGTTCCGCCGCCCGTTTTCGTAATAACCGGTGTATCGCTTAACGTTACTTTAAAATGTTGACATCGTTTCCGTGGGGTTATTATCAATTATATGTAAAACTGTGTGGACACATTTCACCTGGGACACTACACATCAGCACACACGGTCGTCGTTACACGAGACTGTGGCCATACCGTTACACAAAAGCCTGTCACGCACCTGCTTCGCTGTTGAGTCCAGCATAAGGAGGATAAAAACACTGCCCTTCTAACTAGTGTTAATGAACTGCAGTGCCCTTTGTGGCCAACTGAGTAAAACTCTTTCAGCGTGTCATAGCGATGGCTTCGGCGTAAAGATCAACAATGACAAGTACAACTTTATTACAATTTGTTCACCACCGTACACATTCGCGATGGAATTTACAATGACAATTACCCCCTCCGCATGAGATCTCAGATGGCTGGTGGTCCGGCTTCCTAAGCCAGGATGGCAAGCACGTAGCAGCTCGGCACGTCGGCACATTGCGCTGCACCGGTCCCATTTATCCGCAACAGAACTGTTCCTCACGAGGCAGTAAGTGTCACAAGTAGGTAATGGCTGAATCTCTGTCTCTCGATGTCTGTCGCTCCGCCTGAACGACAAGACAATATGCCTCCTTCCTTAATCCCACAGATGTGCCTTACTCTACCGCGGCACACTTGACGCTCCATGTCCAAATTTACGGCACAAATCTTCCACTCCCCCTCCCCCACGCAATCCTAAACGAGCAACTGATGCAAACATGCAAACACGAACGGCGCAACGGCGCAGTATGACGTCACTCACTGGACGGTCTCTCTGGACGGAGCGGGCCCTCACCGGTCACGTGACGTCACTCGCTGGTCACGTGGCGTCCATCACTGGCTGCGTGACGTCACTAACTGGTCCTACGGCGTCACCGCCAGACCGTGCCATGCCATCAGGTTACCACGCGATGGCACTTGCAAGACGTTTGGCCTCCCTTGCTGACCGTATGACGTCACCAGCTGGCCGTGCTACGTCCCCTGCTGGGCAAGTGACCGGCAGCGAGGAGGACCGCTGCCCGGTGGGCGCGCCGGGATTCCTGGCGCGAGCGACCGTCTGCTGGAGGCTTTCTGGTGGCGCGGCGGCGCTCTGATCGGGTCAGGGGTCGGCGGCGTGGGCCGGCAGAGGCACGAGCGCCCGCTGCCCCCCAGACGCCGACGCTACTTCAGGTACCTGAAACACAGGCCATGCGTTGGAGGGCGGCCTGGTTTCATGGAGTGGGAGAGGGGTTACCTTGAAACCACTCGGAAGAAATGATATGATCAGCAGGATATAACAAGAAAACCCGCATGCATGGATGACATAAAATCGCACAACCAGGATTTCATCCATCCGATGTCCGGCATCAAGGCATGCATCAAAAGGGGGCAGCTGCTGATCACTTAGGTCCACGCAGACATTCACCGGCGCTGTCGGAACGGCCGCAAGTGCCAAATCTGACGCAGCGCCCTTCCGAATCCGCGCTGCTGGCAGGAGCAGCCCCTAGGCGCTGGTTTCGACATGCACATACAGTGCACAGACCGGCCATACGTACTCGGTATCAGCTGATTAATGGCAGTAAGGGTCATGGAAAAGCAACAAAAGCAGGGGGTGTATATCAAAATCCATCAGTACACCTACACCTAAACCCGCTACAATCTAGGTATGCGTACGAGACGTAGAGAAAGTGGCGAGGTAGCATCTGTTCGACAGATGACAGGACACCGTGCAACGGCCATCCCAGCTCATTGGCAACACACGGACCCGCGGCGGCCAGTGATTGGTCGACGCCGTCCGCAGCCTACTGCCACGCCACACGCAAGCGTCGCCGACTTCTCCCCCATCGCCTCGCTCACTGAGTGGGATGGGCGCACTCGAATGTTAAAGGTGACCTCCCGTGTTGTTCGTTTGTGGTTTTTATGTTTAAAGGCGCATTGACGAGGGTGTTTCACGCTCAATCGGAAACGACACGCTAAGTTTGTGGTTGTGGCGAAAAACGTGAGTGCCCTTTGAGAACATCGCTGGCTAAAGTCAAAGCATGGGAACACGGTAGGGGTGGAGGAACAGACCGGCGGACGGCACCTTCGCAAACAGCTCAGGAACCACATAGCCTTCGCGACACCTCGCCGTGCCCAGCCAGAACTCCCACCACCACCGGCAGGCCGCGGCTCGGAACAGCGCGTCGGCAGTTCTCAGGCCGGGACACTCACTTGGCGGCCCAGTTGGTGCGGCCGGTGAGCGCCGCCTTGGAGGTGTTGCCCGCCTGGCCCACCTGGGACCTGTACATGTTATACCTTGGAGCGGGAGAGGCGCGTGTCAGCGAGGCAGCCCGGCAGGCGGGCCGGCAGACACACGGCACAGCACTCGGACGCGTGTCAGCGAGGCAGCCCGGCAGGCGGGCCGGCAGACACACGGCACAGCACTCGGACGCGTGTCAGCGAGGCAGCCCGGCAGGCGGGCCGGCAGACACACGGCACAGCACTCGGGCGCGTGAGAGCGGGTGGGGTGAGCCGGGCCGACATGCGACCCGGCCGGCAGGCGGCAGCACCGTGCACACAATCGTCACTCAGACATGGCCGAGCGGCTGCAGTGTGGAGAGTGGGGACAAGTCACAAGCTGGCGTGTTTGTGGCAGAGGTCAAGGCGACGACCCGGCGCCTCCTGAGCAAAACGTCTGAGGGTGCACATGGCAGCTGTTGGACCCATGGACCTTTCAACATTGGATCTGATTACCTCAGGGGCGTCCAACGGTGTCCAAGGTACGGCTCCAAAGCGACCCAGTGGTAGCTGGACCCTTAGCTCATAGCTCTGAGCTTTCTTTGGTGCTACAATATCTTTCCTTGAATACTACTTATTTGTTTCCATTCAAAGCCAAATGTGTCAATCCCACAGCGTTAAGGGAAGACATCACGTCTTCCCTGACCGAGCTCGCCACGCGTCCAGTCCACACCGCCACGCCTGGTAGCCGTGCCGCAGCTCGCCCTTCCCCTCCCCCCCCCCCCCCCTCCGATCGGCCCGCCCCCACCCCCGGGCGCCGCGGCCGGCTGGGCTTACTTGGCCGCCCAGTCGGTTCTGCCGTGCAGGCTGCCGGTGGAGCCGTTGGCGCGGGCGCCGGACGCCTTCATGGACACGCTGCTGTTGTAGTAGGAGCCGCGCGCCGCCAGGCCCAGGCCGGACTCCTGACCCGACACGTTGCCTGCGGGCGCGCGGCGACTCCAGTGAACACGACACCCGCGCTCCCTCTTTCTCGCGCCAGTTTCACGGGCGCTGCTGTTTGGCGGGCGCAGAGGCCAGGTGGCCACCACCATACGCCAACAGACGGACAATACGACGATCGCCTTCTCTTGAAACGTGCGTGCTCACAGAAATATTGGCTTCTAACCTTGCGGAATGATCCTATATTGTCACGGACACCTCCAAGAGACGCGGTTTCTCGTCGATGGGACGACTGGACGGATAGCCGAAACGCGACAATTCGCAGAGAACAGAGCAGAGAATCACACGGACGCCCTGACCGGCGCAAATCATCAGACATCATTTGCCCCTTCCAACGTCACGTCTTCTGCCAACGTCTCAAGCGTCCACACGTCACGTCGTGTCGGGCGCCTGCCCACTCACCGTACTGGGCGTTCCGGGTGTTCTGTCCGGCCACGTAGCGTGCCTTATTGAGGTACACCTGTTTGGCGGTCAGGTTACGCGAGCTGGTGCGGCCGAGCGCCTCGCCGCCGGCCGCCGCCGCCGCCGCCGCCGGCACCGCGCCCGCCATCGTCCGCGACAGCATCTGACTCAGCCGCAGGTGGCTGGGGCTGTGGGAGCGAGGCGCAGGTCAGGTCGGAGCGGGGCACGGGTCAGGTCGGAGCGAGGCGCAGGTCAGGTCGGAGCGGGGCACGGGTCAGGTCGGAGCGAGGCGCAGGTCAGGTCGGAGCGGGGCACGGGTCAGGTCGGAGCGAGGCGCAGGTCAGGTCGGAGCGGGGCACGGGTCAGGTCAGAGCGAGGCGCAGGTCAGGTCGGAGCGGGGCACGGGTCAGGTCGGAACGGGGTGCAGGTCAGATCGAAGCGGGGCACGGGTCAGGTCGGAGCGGGGCGCAGGTTAGGTCGGAGAGGGGCATGGGTCAGGTCGGGGCGGGGCATGGGCCAGGTCGGTCAGAACACGGGCGGAGGTGCGTCGCGGGCGCAAAGCCAGGTGGGGACAGCACGGAGGGCAGCAGGTAGAACGCAGGATGTGGAGGCATTTGAGACCACGCGGAACCTGGCTTCGCTGTCTCACGTATTCAGAACTTGTGCACGCATGAGCTGCCACGTTTCACAACGTGGACAATGTGATAAGCCAATGGTCCATAACTGAAGAAAGCCTTCCAGCCTTTGTCGTATTCGAGACCATCTCATCGGTGACACCCTGGTCTTCATCAATCATGGAAAATTGCATATTAATAGTCACACTGACGAACAACAGCGGTCGCAGCGCCCAATTGGTCCGTGCGCCACGAAGCTCAGCAACGACTGGTGGAAGACACGTGAACACACTGCACCCGCCGTTCAGCAGCAAACATCCCAACACCGCACACCCACCCCGCCTCCGCTCGACCCAGCCTCCGCCGGTACGCACACTCTGCCGTCCTTGAAAGGGTCGTCGTCGAATTTGGAGACTCGACGGGCGTTGGCGGCCGGCTCCGCGAACGAGCCGCGGCTCTGCTTGGACGGCACGCCTGGCAGCACGGCGCTGCTGCCGCCGCCCAGCTTCTGGCCCACCTGGAAGTACGGGTACCTGGCCGCCAGGGCGCCGCGCGTTACACGCCGGCACGCGGCCCGTCCGCGGGCGTGACCCCGAGCTGGCTGTGAGCTGACGCATGTCACAGTGCAATACATCGGGCGTTTTAGAATTGTTGTAGTTCACTCGCTTTGTGAACTTTAACCACTTTAAAAACACTTCATGTATTTCGGGTTTCTCCCAAGCTTGTCCCGTCTCGTTGGGTGGTCGCGTTTCCCCTCGTTTCCGTCTGCGCGATCTGCCCTATCCATGCTGGGTCTGCTTGCGGCGTGAGGCTAGGCACGCCTGCAAGACGAGCCCCGTGGTCCGACACACAACACGAAAAGCTAGCTGCACAAATAATCACAAATCACAAACCAGTCAGCGCAATATTTCTCTCACAAATCATTCCGGACATTTCAAAAACATTCGTGTGCAGCGCACACGGTCAGTGGCCGTTAGAGGACAGTCCTCCGATCAGAGGATAATCTCTCAGCGCACACGGTAAGTGGCCGTTAGAGGACAGTCCTCCGATCAGAGGACAATCTCTCAGCGCACACGGTCAGTGGCCGTTAGAGGACAATCCCCCGATCAGAGGACAATCTCTCAGCGCACACGGTCAGTGGCCGTTAGAGGACAGTCCTCCGATCAGAGGACAATCTCTCAGCGCACACGGTCAGTGGCCGTTAGAGGACAGTCCTCCGATCAGAGGACAATCTCTCAGCGCACACGGTCAGTGGCCGTTAGAGGACAGTCCTCCGATCAGAGGACAATCTCTCAGCGCACACGGTCAGTGGCCGTTAGAGGACAGTCCTCCGATCAGAGGACAATCTCTCAGCGCACACGGTCAGTGGCCGTTAGAGGACAGTCCTCCGATCAGAGGACAATCTCTCAGCGCACACGGTCAGTGGCCGTTAGAGGACAATCTCTCGATCAGCGGACAATCTCTCAGCGCACACGGTCAGTGGCCGTTAGAGGACAGTCCTCCGATCAGCGGACAATCTTCCGATCGGAACTATCGACCAAACCGGCCGCTTCAGCCGTCAGCTGGCTGCTCACGCCGACGGCGATGTGGGCGTCGCGTGCCGCATCGCACCAAATAACCCTCTGCGTAAAGCCCGCTGCGTGACTGATCACATCAAATGACCCTCTGCGTGTCGCATCGCATCCTGAGGCTGATGACGCACAACGAGCGCGCCAAACGCCGCGGCACGGCAAAGGACACCGTTTCGCGGCATTCTGCGACCAAATTGGCGCCAGTTGTCGCTGGATGTAATGATGCCTCGAAGCAGGCTGATAATGGCAAACTCGTGTCGAATCGGCCATTAACCGGCGAGCGAGGCCGGCCATCAGTCTGCCGGAGATCGGGCGGGCTCCGCCACCGATGGACTGCGCCGCCCGTGACTGGTCATACTGGACGTCAATGCTCGGACCCGGGGGTGGAGCGCGGAATCGGCCAAACTCGTGTCGTCGCTTTTGCGAGGTTTGCCTCCGATGAGGGATGCGACAAACCAAGTCAGGTTTGCATTCGAGGGACGCGGGCGCGCAATCCCCCAGTGCAGCTAAGAGCCCTGTTGTGAGCAGACTTGAAGCAGACTATGCTTCGGCCGAGGCTCACCCCAACTTTCGACTCACCGCACGTGCGTTTTTCCTGGGTCCTGCTTAGAGGGGACGCTTCTGGCTGACCCATTGCTTACTGCGGCCTACCGCACACCACGTACTCTAACCTCAGCCCACCCCTTTGTTGCTCAGAAGCGTTTAGAGCACACCGACTGCACGCATTGTTTGCGCCTACCCCCACCCACTCCGGTTCTCGCACGAATGAATTCACTCTCGCCGCATTTTTCGTGTATGTTTAGTCCGCACCTTTTTGACCGGACTGATTTCTGGAGAGCATAGCTCACGCTAAGCAGTGCTTATCGTGAGTCCTGATCCCACCATTCAATCATATAATTCCAGTTAAACCGTAAAATATTGTGACGGAAGTTGGACCTGCCGCAATGCTCAGCACAGTCGGTCCCACCCTCCGACCTCATCTGACCTGCCACTGGCCACATGTCATCTCATTCAGCAGGTAATAGCGGGCGTGTGTAGCGCGGTGAATCTCCACCCGCCATGGGTATGTTGGGGGCCAGGCGCTCTCAGAGACTCAGCTATGGGGAGCAGACGTTACGTTTGTGATTTCCACACAACGCCCTCGGCAGCCGACCGAAGTCCGGCTGCGTCCGCCGGCCCACCTAAGCGCCTGCTGCGCCGTTGGCCGCTTGCTGGGGTTCCAGCGCAGCATGTCGGCGATCAGCGTGATGGCCTCGGCGCTGGCCGTCGGGATGATGGTCTCCAGCGCGGTGGGGCTGAACTGCGGGAACGTGAAGTTCATGGTGGTGGCCAGCTGGTAGCCCTCGGTCCAGTCGCGCTGTCGGCGCACGGGTCCGGGTCAGAGCGGGCGTCGGCGGGCGAGCGACAGCCGACGTGGCGTCCCCGCCCTGCCGATCGGTTACGGCCAGTGAGGTCAAGGCGGACGCACTACCACATCGGTTGTCGTACACGGGTAAGGCTGCGGTCAGGTGCAAATGACGGCCGCCCAGTATAAATAAAACCAGCGCGTGTACGACAGCCGAAACATCAGGAGAGCCGAGACGTCAGGAGTGTCGAGACGTCAGGAGCACCGAGACGTCAGGAGTGTCGAGACGTCAGGAGTACCAAGACGTCAGGAGTGTCGAGACGTCGGGAGTACCGAGACGTCAGGAGTGTCGAATCGTCAGGAGTGTCGAGACGTCAGGAGTGTCAAGACGTCAGGAGTACCGAGACGTCAGGAGTACCGAGACGTCGGGAGTACTGAGACGTCAGGAGTACCGAAACGTCAGGAGTGTCGAGACGTCAGAAGTGTCGAGACGTCAGGAGTACCTAGACGTCAGGAGTACTGAGACATCAGGGCTGCGGATTAGAATGGTTCCGCGCGACGCGCAACGGCAACGAGTGCTGCCAGTAGTCCACCTTGTCGGGAGTGCCCAGCACGGGGACGAATACTGTCAGTGGCCCAACTTGTCGGGCGTGCCCCGCACGGGGACGAGTGCTGCCAGCGGCCCACCTTATCGGGAGTGCCCAGCACGGGGAGGAGTGCTGCTGGTGGCCCACCTTATCGGGAGTGCCCAAAACGGAGCAGATCTTGAAGATCTCGTCGATCTCGGAGCTGCCCGGGAAGAGCGGCCGGTACGTGTACACCTCGGCCATGATGCACCCCACCGCCCAGATGTCGATCGGGCTGCTGTAGCTGGTGGAGCGGAGCAGCACCTCCGGGGCCCGGTACCTGGACGGTCATACCGCTCTCCGTCACTTACAAGCACTGCATCACGGCCCACTGGCGCAAAAGTAGTGAATTATTCACGGAACATGATTTGATCATGGGACATTTACTGGGCAAAGCAGCTTTAAACTGGGCTTGTCATCACGCCACGTGAACATCATCATGGTCACGAAACACAGCACAGTCCCAAGGCGGCCAACGTTATTGCTTAACAAGGGTAGGTGGCCTACATTGTCGTGCACCCTTTCAGAGAGCGCCAGCGAGGACAATCGTAACAATGGCACTCAGGGGTCAAGGCGCAGCTGGAACCTGAAACAGCTGTCCCGACGTGGGAGCCGAAGGCGCCAATCGCCCGCCAATTACACCCTTTCCGGACATGAGAGCGGGGAGGGGAGACAACCTCAAGCGCCCGTCTAGACCATGTGTGGACGGACGCTTGAGACACGTCGTAGTCGTAGTAGTGGTAGGAGTAGTAACTGGGGCTTTAGGGCACCTCGACTGCGCGGTCATATAGCGCCCACGTGGCAGTCGCGGTCTCGCGAGACTTGCTGTTGCCCCAGCCCAGCGGCCGCTGCCGAACACACGCTGTCCGCCGGCGCGCCACGTGCCCCGAAGCTCCACACGGGCCGTGCTGTGGCGCTAGGACACCTCCAGCGACAGCAGGCTAACATCACACGTGTCACAGCCGGCCCGGGAGCGGCCAGCGCGCAAAGCACGGCCGAGAACGCGTCGCCAGACGGACCGGCGCCGCAGGCACGCCACGACAGCGAGGCACGCGTTCAGGCCTGGTGCGGGCATACATCACCTACCGGAGGGCGGCAAACAGACCCGCGCAAGGTGCGGCCGGGCATTGTGTCGCAGCGTCACAAAGCATGCGTTGATCGGCCGCTGTACCTACAAGGCATACCTGCCGCAATGATTCAAACCCCAGGTCCATAGCGTGCCGGAGCAGCTTGACATGCTCTGTATGCTGCCGGTTATTGAGGCCATGAAGGCTGTTACTGTGCCGTGGCGCTAAGCCGTTCTGCGTCGGCCAGTGTACGGCCGCGTTATCGGGCGCCACTGTGAGGTGGCATGGGTGGGTTCAGGGGCGTCACGACTACTCGGCCAGCGGCCCGCCACGGACCGGCGGTCAACTGCGGCTCGCGCCACTCACCAGCACCCGGGCAAAATGGCTGGTGCCAGCCGTGATCACAGCCGTCTCTGCGAGTCCCGTATTGTGGTTTAAAGTGCGTCCAAGTGCATTTAAAGCACATTTAACAGATCTCGTGCATTAACAGACAGGTCGTTTGTCTGCACATTTTGATGCTTCCTGTACTCAAAGCAACCCGGCCCCAAAAACTCTTCGCCCCCGCCCACATTTTTGCATCTGATGTGTAAACGCGCCACACGCGAGTAAATGACCTATTTCGGTGGCACCCTGAACAAGCCACGCGTGTGAAACACTAAACCGGGTCACACGAATTCCATCGCAAAGCCGGACTCGGTCACCCGTGTCTGGCCGACATACAGCCGTGCTAGATCCTGGCCGTAAGTCTTCGGCAGGGCCGGCCGGCCGGCCGCCGCCGCGGCCGCTGGGGCGCGCCGCCGGCCCGGCCCCCTGTGTGTGTGTGTGTGTGTGCGAGTCGGCTGGAGGCCGTGGCGTGCGGCGGCCGGCCCACCCCCGGCGGCCGCCCCACCCGTGCCGGCATAACCGGGCTGGCACCGTCACGGCACCAGGCGTCGACCTTGAACCGCCGCCGGAAAACGGCCCGCATCGGCCCCGCTGATCAATAGGGCCGCAGCGCCATTGATTAGCCGCGCGCTTATCCGACATCAAAAATTGCGCGGGGGCGGCAGACCATCGGACGAGTTCGGAACTCGCGTGCATACGTTTGGCATGGTGCACGGCCACGCTCACCCGCTTTCAAAAGACTGCGCCACCGACTTAATGCCACGTAGAGTGTGTACCGTCGTTCGTGGCAGTGGCATGACGAGTACGGCCGTCGACACACAACCCCGACCCAACAGGTGGCGGTGACTCCGTCCGGTGACCCCCATTCAGCCACAGGACGCTATCGCGCCGTATCGTACGCATCGTACCGTATGGAGTGGTTTGTGCACATTCCCTGCCAGATCTGACCGGTGACGAAAGGGACTTAGGGTGAACATACTGTGGCAGCAGTGAGCCACCAGTATCTGGACGCCTGGAAACCACATAGATGTGATCTAGCGATGTGGCCACTGCCCCGCGTGGCGAGAAATACTCTAGAGTCTGGCGATTTCACGCCTTTCACACATCGTGGCTCTGTCGTGCGGCCGCCTGGCCGCCGCTCAGAACTGAGGTCGGCGAACGCGGCATGGATCGTAATGAGTGTTCATCACGAACGAGCACCGACCGCCACGAGCGGACGTAGCGAACGTGGCGGGTAGCGAGCCACCCCACCAGCCTTACCAGCATGGAGCCGAATTAGGAGAGCTTACCACCTTGTGGAGATGCACCCAGCATACCCCACCCAAGGCCGTCCACCCCGCACGGATACGCCATCTGTGTGTTTTTTATATAGAGAGGGAACGCAACGCACGTCGTCACGTCCCTTTTATGAAGCGCCAGCGACTGCATTGATCATATTATCACCCAGGCGCCATGGCACAACCGGAATTCGAACCCGGGACCCCTACGTGCGAATCCAGGAAGCTAACCACTCAGCCATTACTCCCCATCCGAGGGGGAGATGGGCTGCTGCTCACCACCGTGTGGAGACGTAGTCCGTGTAGGGCGGCCGGGAGCGGATCTCTCGCGCCAGCCCGAAGTCGGCGATCTTGATCAGGTCGGGACCCATACAGAGCAGGTTCTCCGGCTGCGGAGGTCAGCGCAAGGTCAGCGCTCGGGCTCAGGCGGCTCCGCTGCGTGTTCCACGTGTTCCGGTCCTGCTCGAGGGCTGGGACGGCAGTGTCAGCGAGAGGCAAGGCCACGGACTAGACCCAGAGGGCACCGCAGATCGGCGGTGGCATCTGACCTGCGACGCAGTGATGTGGATGTAAGGCTGATACCGAACCGTGTTTCCGATTGTTCTGATACATCAGTTGTGAAGTACATTTGCTAGGAACACTGTGCATATAAATAAGACGGCACCACAGCCTTATTCCTCGTACAATAATCAGGAGAATGGAGAGAGAGATGCATTGATATTACGGCTACACGCCTTTATCGACAAGACATTGGCCATATTAGCACGCAGGGGTCTTAGCACAACCGGGTTTGAACCCGGTACCCCTACGCGCGCATCCAGTGTGCTAGCCACTCGGCCATTATGTCCCCGTCCGAGGGGAAGACTTTCGTGCACTTCAGGTCTCTGTAAGACACATTGCTATTAGTACTGTCTTCTTTATTCTGATACAGCCGGCACGGGAGCCTGTGGCGCGCGCCAATGGCAGCTGTCCGGCAGTGGAGTCCGTCGCAAAATAGCGCAAGAAGGACGTAAACTCGTGCTGGGTAAGAACTGCAACCTGGACCAAGCACCATCCCCACAGGCTGCCGAGCGTTGGCCAGGTATACGAGTTCGTGACTGAGTGTTTACTTTTGCCCTGCCTGGTTCATTGCTAGTGTGCGCCGGGGTTGATCATGCAGCCCCATCGGGGTGAGGGATTTTCCGATCCCCACCAGAGTGTGGCGATGCCCAAACCATAACACTTGCCCCTTCGACTACTGATGCCCACAAACTCCACTATTACAACTGCGTGCATCAATAAACAGCCCAACAACGACCGAGACCCGATCCGGACTGGCAGCTATGCGCGGGGCCAGGGGCACACCACGAGCACCCACGCCTCTCACACCACCTCTCTCACCTTCATGTCCCGGTGGAAAAAGCCGTGCTTGTGCATGAATGCCACGCCCTGCAGCACCTGGTACATGATGTTGCGTATAACCGGCTCCGAAAGCACCTTGTCCCTGCGAAAGCAGGACGCATCGGTCAGCGGTTATAGCCACATACTGGAAACTGCAGCCCGCCAGCATGGTGGGTACTGCGCGTACGTGGCGGGCACCGGGTGTACCTGGCGGGTGCTGGGCGTACCTGGCGGGTACCGGGCGTACCTGGCGGGTGCTGGGCATACCTGGCGGGTACTGCGCGTACCTGGCGGGTACCGGGCGTACCTGGCGGGTGGGCACGGCGTACGGCGTACGTGCCTACCTACCGTGCGTGCGGGTACCGTGCCTACCTGACGGATATCGTGCGTACCTGGCGGGCACCGTGCGTACCTGCGTGCGTGCGTACGGGTACCGTGCGCACTCACGTTGTCATGTCACAGGGTATGCAAAACACACGCCATAATCACGCGCGGAGTGTAACCAGAGAGGAGCGCCGCGAAACGGCGGCTGTTCGCGCTGGCAAGCCTCCCAACCCCACCAAGCTATCGCGCTTCCTGTGTTTCGCCAGTGTGCCACCAGCTCCGATGTGTGCCTTCTAAAAACGCACTGGGAGCTCGTCACCAGGGGCCAGTTGTGATGTCATGCGATGACGTCGCTGTGATATGCGCGCTCTTCCCGATCTCCGTCAGGTGCCGCCAACTGAGCCGCATCCAATAACGGATGTCCGTACGCTGAGCCGGGGTTGCCATGCGGCGGCGGCGGAGGCGGCGGCGGCGGCGGCGGCGGCGCCTTGGGTCGGGACCAGCCGGCGAGGTCTCGCCGCGGCTCGGTGAAGGTCAGTCATCGACCCGCCGCCACCTTCGTCACGCGCCCACATCGAACGGCCGCTGGCCACGACGTCCAGCCCAACGTCTGAAGCCGGTGCTGGGCGGAGCTGCGCACGTCCTAACGTGGCCTGGCGTCAGGTCTTCAGGACTGGCCCGGGAGACGACACGACACAGGCTGATCCCACCCTCTCGTGCGCATCAGGTCGTTAGGTCATGGGTCAGCTCTTCAGGTCAAGGGTCAGGCCTCAGGCCAAGGGTCTGGTCCGCACGTCAGAAGGCAGATACTCGGACCAAGGGCTCGGACCTAACGTCACACATCAGGCCAAGGGTCGGGCCATCGGGCCAGAGGCCGGCGCCTCAGGTCAGGGGTCAGACCTGTTCAGCCTCAGCCCAGTGTGGCTCCGCCGCAGTATGGCCGTGCGGAATCCCTGACCGCAGCGAAGCCGGCAGTCGCCAGACGCGGCGCCATGGCAGCAAGGGCCAGGGGCGCGGCGCCGGGAGACAGAGGGGCAGGGGAGCGCGGCGCCAGGGGACAGAGGGCCAGGGGGCACGGAGCCGGGAGAAAGAAAGCCAGGGGGCGCGGCGCCAGGGGAAAGAGTGCCAGGAGACTGAGGACCAGGGGAGCGCGGCGCCAGGGGACAGAGGAGCAGGGGAGCGCGGCGTCAGGGGACAAAGAACAAGGGGCGCGGCGCCAGGGGACAGAAACCCAAGGGGCGTGGCGCCAGGGGACAGAGGAGCAGGGGTGCGCGGCGCCAGCGGACAGAGAGACAGGGGAGCGCGGCGCTAGGGGACAGAGGAGCAGGGGAGCGCGGCACCTGGGGACAGAGGGCCAGGAGAGCGCGGCGCCAGGGGACAGAGGACCAAGGGGCGCGAGGCCAGGGGGCGGATGCTGGGGGCGTCGCGCCGGCCAGAGACATCAGATAAGAGCAGCGTGCGCAGAACGGTCCGCAGCCCGACAGGGTAGACGGAATCTCACTGATACATGGCTTATCGTTGCTGTTCCAGTATCACATTAGGGTCGTCGTCTGGGACAGGGGTAATACGCTCACGCTTTACTATCTCAGGGCCCGTCACGACCAAGACTATGGTGAGCATCCATAGGCGCTGCCCTTGAAACGATAGGCACTGAGATAACCTAGAAGACTCGTATCCCAACACGTCTCGTCTTTGGGATTTATCGAGTATGCATGGAGCAGAAACCCCGCCAGAATGTGTTTTTCAAGTAAGAACGACAAAAAAATCACAGCTCGCCGCAACTAATTTCCGCTATTTTGGGCAAATTGATCAGACTCTGCGCAGCATAAGCCTTTTTAAATGACATCAGATCCGGTCTGAAGTAAATATAAACGATATATCAAACCTTCTTGGATATCCCTGCCATGATCCACGCATTTTTTCCAGGACCGATTCGATACTGATAGATGTATAGTGAGCCACGCCCGACACAAACCAGAGCCGGCACCGTTAGCCAAGGTTTCAGCTGTCTTTGCAGCACACCTATCCGATTTTGTCAGGCACTGTTCTCCGCGGGCAAAGGTAGGGAAGGCTTCGTTTGCTTCCAGACATGACCTTGCCTCAAGATCAGCAGGGGCCGACACGCTGCTGGTTTCAAGAGCCCGTCTTTCGACATAGCTCACCGGTGCATCTCCATGCCGTAAAATTTAGCGGTCGGGATTCGCGACTGCTCGGCGCGAAGGCGGCGTGCAAAAAAGACCGTTTTGCAAAAAATAAAAAAATAAATAACAGAGGAAGCGGCGTTACATTATCCGGCTTGCGTTCGGGCTGAGTATCTATTGGGTGAACTGCTATTCACTGCTTTGCGACAAAGCTTGGTGAAAACAACGAATTATTGGAAGTCATCGACAACGAACATTCTACTGAATAGCGCCAGCAAAACGTCCTGGACTTTTAAAGTAGTCCAATATGGTATATCAAGATGGCTATCTATTACGATACTGATCTCATTCCTTTGGCTGGGACGCCGATGGTTCCTAACGAAGGCACTAGGGACCAAAAACGGACGCTAAGTTCATTTACGCTGCCTCTTTGTACCTACAGCTATCTCTTAATTGCTTATTTCTTTGATGCCGAAGCAGTCCACTGCACGGCGTCGGTCTGAGTTTCACAACACACCTAGTCTTTGGTTGGCTACTGCCATCGTGGAGATCATCGTGGACAGCCTTGTCTGTCTCTGCCTGCGTGCGTGCGTGTGCGTGTGTACCCGCGTGCATGTGCGCGTGCGTGCGCGTGCGTGTGGATGCGCGCGGGTGCGTGTGGGTGCGTAATTGCGTGCGTGATTGCGCACGTGATGTTATAGTACATAAAACATGTGTGTGGCGGGGCGATCCAGGTTATAATTGCCTTTGAGCGAATGGAGTTGAAACCTGACCAACTGGAGCCGACATCACCAGTCTGCAAGAACGTCATCTGTTCGTTTTCACCGGTCACATGCACACAGCAGAAACTCGGACCGCACCAATGCAACGTGTTAGTCCACGGAAGCAACGTACCTCTTTCCAGCGCGCGCCCTTTGCTGGCTGCAATCCAAAGCAGGGGTTCGTCACCACCGTTTTGTCACGTTAATACAAGCGTATCTGTGATATGCATGGTAAGACATCGGAACTCATCCCGAGCCATATCGTGAGCTGGGATGCTCTAAACAATGCGAAACGTTGACAGAGCCTGTGGTAAAAACTAGGCAAATAGATAACGCAGTAGTAATAGCCTTATTCCCCGGAGAAAAAACAGGAGAGTGGAGATGTACATGGGTTGATACTACGGCAACATGTTTTCATCGGAACAATAGCACAAGTGAATTCCCAGAATTGGGTATCCGTCTTTTCATCTTTTCATCAACTCATCATCAATCTGAGTTTTTCGATAAAGGCAATTGCCATGGAATTCAATTCTGCTATTGTTTTGATAAAGGCATGTCACCGAAATATCAACACATCTATATCTCCATTCTCCTGGTTTTTCTCCGAGGAATAAGACAATTACTACTGCTTTATCTACGTGACTGATGTTTCTCGCTAACGCACTGAACAACTTACGTAAAAATTAGACATTAGGAATACAGCGCGTTCTTTACGTCAAACGCGTCAAAACATGTAATGGTTCCTACCCATCCTTATGACTTGGGGAGATATAAACGCCGATAATTATCTTTATAAGAGAAACGGTGCCAATCGGCAAAATATGTGAGAATGCGGATATTCCTTGCTGTTTAGCACTCCTTCCGACTGAACTATTTTTGTGGAAATCAGACTTTTTGTCAAGTTCTAAGTCATAAATAATGACCACTCTTTGGTTGAGACCACCCCATTGGAGCGGGAGTTAAGCGCATACAAGCCAGCTACAAAAAACCCTTAGCAAGGTCAGCTACAGACAGCCCTTGGTAAGGCCAGTTTCCAACAGCCCTGGCGGACCGGGCAAGGTCCAGCCGTCCGACCCGTGGAAGAAGTTTTCCCTGAACAGAATGCGGGTATGACAACAATTAGGACGCACGCAGTTGCAGCCCTCACATGAAAAGTGTGAACGTCGATGATATTTATCAGAAGCCGTTCAAAACAGTCACGGCCTTCTCACCTTTCCTTCATCAGTTGGTACAGGTTTTCCTTCATATACTCGAACACAAAGTACAGCGTGTCGTTCTCTCGAATGACCTCCTTCAGCTTCACGACATTCGCGTGACTCAGCTTCTTCAAAGACTGAAACACAAACATGCAAACGCTTACGTGCCGGTTTTTCCCGCGTAGGTACTGAGTGAAAAAGAACACATCAAGTGCACACCGTCCAGTGGACGTTCTTTTCACATGCTGCCGAAGTTCAACTGGGTTTGACGACAAAGTGGTGACGATTCGGACATTGGGGCGTCTCACCCACGCGCTACGACAACACATCTCCTAAGCAATTTGTTCGGTCGCCTGGCTTTAAAATGCAGTCTACTAACAGCGGGTAACGTGATGACAGCCAATTAGACAGGTTTGCACACAAATGGGTACGGAGCGCCTTGAGTCGGCTCAAATTACCGGGGCGGGAGCTCGCCCACATCCACAACCACGACCACTAACACTCAGTACCGCCACCTCCGACAGCGGTACCTGTCTCCCACAGAGTTCCAGATGCATCTGCAATTGGAAAGTTCGGCAGTTCCGCGGGTCATACCTGCTCTGCTCCGTTCCGCACTCCCTCCGCCCCCCCCCCCCCCCCTGCCCTCTTGGTCTGTGGTTCTATCGACCGTCTCTGGCCCGGTAAGACGATCAGATGCCTCGTCGTCTCATTAGACGACAGCATACTTCCCCGCAGAATACCGCACCGCGGGCTCACCGTCCCCATGGCAACCAGCCAAACAGCCCACGGACGGACGCCGCCCCCGGCTCCATAGTGCATGATGTTACAGTTGTTCACCAATATCTCGCTTTCACGTGCACACTCAATGACACACACAGGTCTAGGGATGCAGGCCCGCGGCAATGAAACGCAAAACCGCAATGCGAAACTGAGTCACCTGCATTCAATAGCACATACAAAAGGTATTATGATGCATGTGATACAGATGTGTAATATAAGTACTAAAATAACGCGATATTTATCATTCAATGTTAATGATGACAACACCATGGATAACTGGACGAATGGAAGGGCAGATGGTCATTGCCTAAGCTCCCCAGCACAACTTGGCTTACCTTGACCTCACGGAGGTTCATTGCTTCCTCCCATGACGTGTACTTCCGCTTCATCCTGCGGGAAAACATGACAACTCAGCAATTAGAAATTTCACTGGACCACGAGCCGTGCGGCTGCGTTCGACTTTTTCATGATTTAAACAAAGCCGACGAAGAATCATGACGAATCATAAATAATGACGAAGAAATGCTGTTTTATCCCCCGATGCGCTGCTGCAAATAATAGCTCACCAGCGTAATGAAGACAAGGCGTACTAAAGGCGTAGGGTCGGGAATCCAGTAGCTTACAGACAACAATTAAACAGCGCATGTTTTGCGTTCTTATGGGAGACAAGCAAACTCAAAACTGAAAGACGACATAATACCCAGCGTGCGTGCATGCGCCATTAACAAAGCAGGGCTGCTCGGTGCCGATCCATGCACCTGGCACCGCCACCATTCTCGAGGCACCCCTGTCTAATCGTCATCACGGAATGTTGCCCCGCCGGAGCGCCCGGGGTCGGCGCACCTTTTGATGGCCACCTTCTCGCCGGTCTCCTTGTTGAGGCCGAGGCTGACGTCTCCGTAGGTGCCGTCGCCCAGCACTTTGAGGACCGTGTAGCGGTGCATGCCCACCTCCTGACCGAGCGGTGGGAGCGTGCTCATCGAGCGGCGGCGAGGAGCAGCAAGACGGGCCGCAGCGCTCACAGCCCGCTGCCGGCGGCCGGCACGGTCACGGGGAGCGGACGGCAGGCTAGGTGGGACTGTCAGCCGACAGGACGGTCAGAGGGAGCTGACGACGGTCAGGACGGTCGGTAGGAAGCTGGCGGAAGGTGACAGACAGCCGCATGAAGGCGGATGGTCAGCGGCCGGCTGTGACGGCCACTGGCCGGGGGGGGGGGGGGGGGGGACGTGCGGGGCAGGCGACAGGGGCCGGGACAGGCGGGACAGGAGCCGGGCGGACGCCGGGGACCGGACATGTGAACCAGGCTCTGGAGGGAGCGCCGGCCGCGGCTGGCGGTAGCGCCCAGTGTCAGCCGCTGCGCCCCGACCCGTGCAAGCGAGTGCGGTCGACCCGCTGCGCCAGGCGGGCGGCAAGACAGGGAGCGGTGCTGGGAAGCGTGCCGCCGCTGACCGGCCGCCGCTCGGCGGTGCTCCCCCCACTGGTGCATGGTGCTGTGCAATACCACACCGAGTGCGCACCTGCAACTGCAGACCACAGTCACTGGGCGGAGCAGGCAGCCACTGGCGGCCCGGCTCAGACGGGAGACCGAGCCCGACGGTGGTCACCGAGCACCACAAACAGAAACGGCCGACAATCGAGCTAATGTGCTCTACTGAGTTTTAGATGCATTTGGACATATATTAAACACACCAGCTCTGTTAGGTAACATCACTGGGATCGGTACTGTACTCGATGCCATCCAGAAAGAGCTAACTCAATATTTCGTGTATGGGGTGCCTTGAGACGATGAAAGGACATAGTACAGCTTCTGCTCGGAAAACTTCCTCAAACAGTTTTATTGACAAATAACTGGGGTAGCGACAGCCCTTGAATCAACGAAAGTCATCCAGAACAAGTATCTTAGATTGGCCTTGCATTTACAGTACAATTCATTCTGTTTCCGCCAATGTGACTTACAAATCAATGACAAATGGGGGACTAACATGCCCGTCGCGAGCACAGGAGCCGTGACGTCACGCGAGGCTACTTGATGGATCAGTGGAGACGGCACGACGCTCCGTTCATCGCACGTGCCAACAAACCCCATTGACTACGAAACATATTGAGACTTCCGACACTGCAGTCCAGACTGGTTACTACTTGGCTGGACGCGCAGTAATCCCCCTCCCCTCCCGTTCCCGCAGCCAGGGCTGGGCCACCCCTCTCCGTTATGGATTACGGTGGCGCCGCGGTCGACACGAGCCAGCTACACCCCGTCATCAGGCCGCGGCCAGGCAGCGCGGCGCGCTGAAAAACAGCTCTCCACGCGTGCGATCGGTCAGCGCCGGTCGATGGGCGCAGCTCAGCCGTGCGGCTCAGCCGCTGGCCAGACTTTTGGGAGGGTCTCCCCGGCCGGACAGCACCGGCCGCCAGGCTGGCGGACGGCACAGCGGTAAGTTAAGCGCCCCAACCAAGCTGCTCCAAAGCCCACTGTGCGGACTAATCAACAACAAAACCGGCACGATTCCGTACAGAGAAGAGCACACCAATTGTTCATTACAGCGACTGGCTGGACACGCAATGACAAGCTATTGTGGCTCGCCCGCGCACGACGCTCCATGGAAACTGGTCGATTACGTGGCATTCGCGAGGCGGAAGTGTTGTAGAGGGGTCCCCGCCGCGATTTAATAATGCACGTGCGCTTGATGAATCATATCGTAGTTTTGCACCAGGGTGCACTGTACCGTCAGAAACCCGTATTGCATTGATCTACGCTCATGGCCGGGTTAATCGCCTACGCCACGCACTGACAAAGAGGTGCGGCTTCAAACATGCCAGCAAACCTGCCAGAGAAACTTAACAGTGCAAAAGAACAGATAACACCATGAGTCATGCTGAAAGGGGAAGGTAAAATTCAGGAGACAGAAAAGATGTCAGGAAGAGTGCGAAGAGTAAAAAAGAAGGCACGAAGACATAGGGACGCATCGGAAAATGGCCGCGGCACGGCCCCCGCTGGCAGCAGCGGCAGTTACGGCGCTTGGTCACCAGCTGACCGGCCGGGCAGGTCAGGCTGCACGTACCGTTTGATGGCCACCTTCTCGCCGGTGTCGACCCGCTCTCCGAGCACCACCGAGCCGTAGGTGCCATCGCCCAGCTGGCTGAGCGTCACGTACCGGTCCATCGTGTCACACATGGCGCGTGGCCAGCCTGCGGGCGCGCGGCACACTCGGTCATCCGGCCGACAGGACGGGGACGGGGACAGGGACGCGACGGGACGCGACGCAAGGCGACGGGGCACAACGTGACGCAACGCAACACGACGCGACGGGAAGGGACGGGACGCGACGCGACGCGACGCGACGCGCGTCACGCGACGCGACGCGACGGACGAACCGGCGGGACAGGCCGACGGGCGACACAAAACGGACCGGCTGTCTGCGCAATATACCTTAACAAGAGGCTAAAAACGTCAGATACTTAAAATCATCTCGTGAATGGGCTCTTGAAAGACTCTTGAAAGTCAAGAAAGGCCGGTCCACAATGTCGTTGCTGATGACACGCTCCTTGTGCATATGCACAGTTCGGTAACCACATGCTCGCTTCCTACGGCTGTTCGTTGGGCGGGAAAGAGATAAATGGCTGTATCGCCGCGTATTACGCTAAGTGTTTCCATAGTCGCAGGAGAACCAAGAGCGTATTCTTTGGCCCCTCGTTGGTCCATATTTCGTTTAGAAGGCATCTGTCTATAGGTCAATAAACTTACTTTGTTCAAGACAGTTATCGAAGGAGTCAATAATCTTTTGGGCAGGGGCGTAATGACAGAGTGGCTAGCGCGTCGGACTCCCACGCGAGGAACGCGCGGGTTCCGGTTACCCCACGGTCTCTGAGCGCTAACATGACCAATGCAGTCGCCAGCACTTCATAAAACGGGCGCGACGACGTGCGTCGCGTTCCTTTTTTATTAAGAAGGGAACTTCGGGGCACCATGCCTGCCAAGCGGTCGCCGGGCATCTACCACATGATCCAAATTTACGTCGTCCGGAGATCACTCCAGCTGCCAAGTTACGCACTTTCTGCAATTTAGCAACGGAAGTGTGGTTCGCGACCCCACAGACCTCAGCGCGCTAATAGAGGGGGCAGAACACAATGGCACGAGGCAGAATATTGACAAGGAACATGTGTTTGACATTTGGGAGAGCGACATGAATGCCAAAACATGGCCTAGTAGCATGGCCCGCGCGCATTTCCTAGGACAGTGCAGGATCCATGATCAGGCCTAAATTGATAACTAAGTGAGCATCGGATAAACACCAACACCTGTGTGGTGCCGGGACACAGTGACGGAGCCTGGCTGAGTCGGGGTCGCAGCGGGGTCACCTGTGCCCTACCTCCGTTGGGGCATGTCCAGGGCACGTTTTCCGTGCGCAGCAGCGGACACCAGGGGCCCGAGCCGGCCACCTCAGACGAACCGAAGCACGGACCGACCAACCCTCGCCCCACAGCGACCAGTACGGAACGTGTGCGGCACAGTGAACGCCGGTTGGAGCGGGGCGTCGCGTAGCGCGGCCGTGCGTGGCTGCCCGAGGGGGAGAGCCCAGCCCGCCGCCCGACCGGTCACAGCCCAGCCCGCCGCCGAATGACGCCGATCTCGCCGGCCCAGCTGCTCCCGCCGCACGGCGGTATCGACCGGCGCGGCCGCGGGGCGCTCGACGGCCGCCAGCGCCGACCGGCACGCGCACGCCAGCACGCGGCCAGGGCTAGCAGGTCACAGCGTGAGATGATCATCATGTCTTTCACTCTGCCAACTTCCAGTGATTGTCATGTTGCTGACTAGAACTTGTTGCAGGACCAAGGACGCTTGAAATTAACAACCAGCACTGATCAACATCATTCTCAAATGTCACCTGCTTTACCAAGTCCATAGTTTTGTGACTGCAGTTTCACCATGTACACACACACATAGCAGCCAGAGCTACATGGCATCATCTGCCTCTTGCCCCAGCAAGAAGGTCAGGCATTGGGAGAAACAAAGACTCCAGCCCTTGTCCCTAGTTTACCAGATGTGCAGGTTAGTCATTGAACCATCAGTGCCCCAAGGCCTGGCATTATGCTCTAATGTATGCATGGTCACCAGCTGTAGTGCCTTGATGTCACATGCCACTTGTTAAGTACCTTGATGCTGCCATACAGTAATCACTGCTGAAGTTTGATAACTATTCAGGGTTTTTAACCCTGTATGGCCATAATAAGCACACCTTATCACCATTCAAATACAAGGGAAAATGATGAACATGGCTTCTACAAAAGTTCCTTTCCTCTACCAGCTTAATGCTAGCATTTCTTAACCTCTTTTAGTAATATAAAATGAACCATGCATCTATAAATCTCACTAAGCAAACCAACCTCAACCAGTATATGACTGCACTTGCACCCAAGTAATCAGTGATTCAAATAGGTTTGCAGCCTCAGCCTCTATGATCAAATAGATCATATCATGTTGGCATTTTCATGTTTGAAATCAATTACTTAATAAAATCAATTGACTCAATTTGTTTGGTAATGGCCCATGGCCACATTTTATCCTAAGCATGCTCTGAAAAGTGTGGAAAAATATGATCATATCAAGGGCAAACTCCAGTGAAAGCAATGACAAAATATTGCAGCATGACTAAAACTACTAAACAATCAACTTCAGTGGTCATCTGTAAAACCTGTTTAAAACCACTGAAGGTTCTTGACAAAATGATTTGACAGCCTTTGCCTGCTTGCCCTCATGTTGGTCCTATAACAAAATTATGTGAAATTGCCTACCTGCCCTAATCCAGGTCCAATCCTAAGTAATGTATCAAACTGACATGGAGAATTAGGCATAAATGTTTTGCACTTAATTGCATTTTGAGCATTCCAAGTCTAGACTGGGACAAACTGAAAAATCCCCAGGTCAGAAGTGAGAAACTTATGATCTTCTGTGAAGGCCATAGTACATCTGTTATGTGTGGTTTAATAAGTTAACCTAAAGAACACAAACATTTTGCATAGGTGCATGGTCAAAAACACCTGTTTACTCTCACAAAATCCTCAAATTGTATGCCAGAATACATAGGTATATATAAATTTGTATTTATAGGAGGTAAAACATTCAATCTCCACTAGCAATGGGAAGCACACAATAATTGTTAGTAAGCCAAATTGATGTGAACAGATTGTTGCTATATTTTCCCTCCCAGTCCTGTTCACCTTTGCTTTTGCTGTTTTTCCTTTGCCACAATATTCCACAGTTCTGGCTCAGGCATCTGTCCTATTAGAGACAAGCACATGAGTGATGCTTTCATTGCAGGATTATTCAAGTACATCATCTTTAGCAACATGATTTTTGATGGAATAGCTGCCAAAGACAATCTGCAGAACTGACCAAATCCTACCTATTTTGAATTAATGCTCATCAAAACACTTTAAAATTCTGAATGTTGTTCCTTCATCCTTGTTAGGACAACTAAGCCAAATGAGGTAGCCATTTAGGCAAGTGAAATTCCATTACCAGCATCTGCGATCCAAGTACCAGATAGACTCATATGTCTAGCATGAACAGCCCGAAGTGATTCATTGTAAATTTTAGCGAGAGCACAAGCACCAGCTGCATCAGAGATTCACGCCACGGGTTCCTCCATATAAGTATTTCAATTTAGTACTTACCTTAAAAAAACAGTAATATTCGTGTATGCACTTGCGCCTACCCTGCCCACGATATCTTACCTTACATGCTGCTCCTGACGGGTGGCCCCAGCCCAAGCCACAAATCATCCAAACCATTCGCGTTTGCACGCTGCGAATGTAAACAATACAGCATTCAGTACGGTTTTGTGTCTCCTATATATATTTATAGCCGGCCCTTTCTGGCGTGGTCTAAATCTTGGACTGCCATATAAGATTATAGCCCGTTGTTTTTCTACAAATTTCAAATAGATTCTAAATCCTGTTTCAGATTAGAATATTGAGGTGCATTAACATAAAAGATATGAAGACATTACAGTAAATCCGAGTCTCAGAAACGTAAACAAACTTCACCGTACCTTTTGTCCTGCCATCTACTGGCAAACCACGCAATGCTCAACGGACACATTCGTGGAAATTCAAGATGGCGTGAGCCGTGTGCGAGGTTTTGTTGTTTTCATTACGGGATGAATTTTGGCGCTAATCTAGATGGTTTTATGTGATGAGTGATTCAGTCGTCGTCAGCGGATTGATACAAGTTTACTCTTCAGCAAGATTGCCCAATATCTCGAAATGGAATCAGGCTGGAAGGAATCATAATTGTCATCAGATCGGTTATTAAGCGCATATGCGTGGTGACTTGCCTATGTTTTTGGGCGAGTTTCGAAGATGAGCTGTTCGATTCTAACGACTTAAGGATTGCACCGCTTTGAAGGTACTGTCATTCTTGTTACCTATTATAGATAAATGTTATGCTTAATAATGCGAGTTCAGGTCTTGGTCTGGTTATTTTGCTTGGCCATGTACATGGCACCTCTTCAGAAACCTATGAACTTTCCTAAGCCCATTTCAAGCTGCTATGGTGAATTTGTGAGTTAAAAATATGCCAAGTCTGAGTTATGAGGTGTATTCCATGTAGTCAATTGTTTTGGTGAGCCCAAGTTGTGGGGATATGTGAACTGACTGGTAGCCTCTACCCTTGAGGTGGATCCTTTTTCAAAGTGCTCAAAGCTAAGTTGGTACTTAAGGAAGATGCACACTTTTCTTTGCAAATTTTGAAAGGCTTCTAGCACTTAGTCTGTCAGCAATGAAATCAATGCCTATTATGTCACAAGTATGTGATTGCTTTATGACAGATTGCTCTGTTATTGAGCTTCAGAGCTGTGACAGTCACTGAGGTCATGGTATTTGGGTCCTGTCAGGCCTGCAGCAAGTTCTAGAGTTATTCCTGTGATGACCATTGACTGGCATACATAGCCATGACAACCATAGAATAAAAGGAAAGAAACTGTTTCTTTTTACCCTAGCACAGACTATTTGAATGCCCATCCTTGATCCTTCAAAACCACTAGTACATTAGTGTTAAATTATTGAAAAAAATTATGTGTTATCAAATGAGCATGTACAGCACCTGTAATGCAGTCACCTTAGATACTAGTATAGAGAGCTAAGCATGCTGTTTGTTATATGTTCCAGGATGAGGCCACTGCATTGCTGTATGTTGCCTTTTTATTTTTCAGTGTGTTATTTATGACATTAGAATTGAGAGCAGAAGTGGAAGCATCATAATATCACCAAAGTAGAGGACTGGTGCTCACAGTATGGTGTGCTAATATAGTCATGATCTTTTGTGCATGAGCATATTTTGAGATGTTTCCTGTTTGTGAAAGTGATAACATGGAATGGGTAGTTACTGTGTTCAACTTATGTAACATAGGTGAGGTGGACCAACCCTATCACTGACCATTATAGGATTAGTATTCTGTTGAGAGAGGTCATGATTATTGGTAAACTGCATTTCATGTGAATTTACATTTATAGCTTACTAGCACTTGGCAGTCACCATCTGAGAGAACTGCATCAGTAGTACTTTGAAATGCATCAAGACTGTGCTGAGCAATAAATAGAGCATGCTCAGACCAGTAACCTGGTATTAAACATTTCTGTTTGTGCAGCATCTCTGCACCAAGTATAAATATAAATACCATGTAAACAAATTGTTGGTGTCAGACAGATGAAAAATATAATTCTTTGCCTTCTTTTAGTTATCTCATAAGTCATGGCTATCACATATTAGCCCCCACAGGATGGTTATCATATATTTTGCACTATACTACTGATAGGCTGGCCTGTAGTGGTTGCCAACTGAGCATATAACAAAATGAGATCCTAAGTGACATACTTTTTAATATTTTTTTGCAATATTTCACATGGCCTTGGCATGTGAGCAACTTGTAATGCATGTAATGATACATCTTGTGCTATGCTATAAATGACACATTGCTGTGTCCATAAGGCATGACAGTTGGGTGCCCAGAAAATGGTTCAGACCAATAATGGTTGAATTTACATTCCACATGCATATTTGATGAATTATGAAACTTATTCAGCTCTTGACCTGCACCTATTGGTTATTCATCTACTACTGACAATGTTTTTACCATACCACTTAAGCCATGTTGTGGTACAGTGGCTGGCTTCAAGACAAACAAGTACTTTGCAGCTCTGGACTGAACACTGGCATCTGCCATGCATAAATTGTATTGGGTATGCTACAAAAGCTGTGTTTTCAGCTGTAGCAAACCAGCGTCTATCATGGCCTTTGCCACTTCTAAGTTTTGTGTCAAAGCCATCCCCCAGGCCAGAAGTTTTCATTGAAAATGAGGTTTCATCCCTCATCCAAGGTGTCCACAGCACAGGACATGCCTGTGTTCTTGTGCCCATGGTTTCCCTGTACAGAATGTCTATGGGCATGCATCTCTGCCCAAATGAGGCACAGAGACTAAGCCAGGCTTCTAGTGTGGAGTCAGGCTTGAAGCCAAGACAAGC